GGTCAACGGCAATAAGCCTTCTTGCGGGCTGCTCTCCTGTCCCAGGCCCAGAGGCCTGGAAGGACAGAATTATGTCAGGAACGGAACCCTTAGCACATTTCAGCCTTGTTTCCCAGGACTCACTGGGATCCCACTTCTTGTTTTCTGGTAAAAGCCCTCAGAGATCACAGCCTTGGTTCAATAAATCCAGGTGCCACTCCTGCATGCAGCAGATCTTGGTAGTGTCCATGTGATGCTGGTTTTGCAAGCCCACAGAGTGCCGGGTGAAAGGGCCAAGCCAACCTCTGCTGAAATTGCAGAGTAAAAGCTGGGAGGTCAAGCAGGAGTCTTCCTCAGAAGCCTGTAGAGAGCCCTGAGAGGTGATGCGCAGAGACTCCTAAAAGGTAGACCATCAGCAGCATGAACTATTCACCTTTGAAATCTACAGACAGAGTGTTCCCCTGTAAGAGTTACCACATGGACCAGTAAAGCTACTAGGCCAGAGCTACCTGAGACCTTGGGGGCCACCCCAGCCATAGTGGGCACAGGATTCTCAGCTTGGAGCTTTAAGATTTAATAGCTGCCTTGTTGAGTTTTGATCTTGCTTGGTGCTGATTCCGACTCCCCTTTGGGACAAGAAAGTTTGCCCTGTGTTTGTTTTACCATTGCATCTTGGAAAAATGCAACTTTCTTTTCGATTGTATAGCAGCATACTAAAAGAGTTGGCATTGAGTCTCAAATAAGACTGGGAACTCAGACTTCTGGGTGATGCTGGAATGAATGAAGACTGAGATTATCAGGGATGGAATAAATGCAGTCTACACGGTGACAGGGGCGTGAACACTGTGGGGTCAGGGATGGAACGTTATGGTTCAGATGTATTTTATCGCTCAAAGCATCCCAAGTGCTGGTCTTCAATGTGGTGGTGTAAAGGTGGTGGGTACTTTTTATTTTTTTAAATGATGGGGATTGAAGCCAGGGTCTTTCACACTGAACTACATCCTGGCCCTCTTTTACTTTTTATTGAAACAAGTTCTAAATTGCTCAGTCTGCTCTTGAACTTGTGATCTTCTTACTTCAGCTCCCTAGACTGCTGGGATTATAGGTGTGCATCACCACGCCCCACTTGGTGGGAATTTTAATTAGTGGAGCGTAATGGGAGGTGGTGAAACTGGGCCTTCTTGGTGTATCTTCCTATCTTACCATGTGGATCTCTCTCTCTCTTTCTCTCTCTCTGTCTCTCTGTCTCTGTGTCTCTGTGTCTCTGTGTCTGTGTCTGTGTCTCTGTCTCTCTGTCTCTGTCCCTGTCTCTCTCTTTCTCTCTGGTGGCTTCCACTGTGAGGTAATGCAGCCAGACAGTACTCACTAGAGCTGATGTGTGCTCTCAAGGACTTTCAACCTTCAGAACTCTGAGGTAAATCAACCTCGTTTCTTCATACATATCCAGCCTTTGGTATTCTATTACAGTAATGGAAAATGGACAGTGCATGCCCAGTCTACATTTTTCTGAAAGCTTTCTTACTTTTTAGCTTCATAAAATGTGTTAAGATAGGCATGGTGGCAAATACTTATAATTGCAGCACTGGGAGTTTGAGGCAGGAGGACTGCAAATTTAAGCCCAACTTGTCAAGTTAGCGACTTAGCTAGACTCTGTTTCAAAATAAAAAATTTAAAAGGGCAGGGAGTGTAAGTCAGGGCAAAGGCACTGGGTTCAATTCCCAATCCCATCTCTCTCTCTCTCTCACACACACACACACACACACACACACACACACATACATTTCAGATTCATATTGTCATTTTTCTTGTCCCAGTCCTTAAAACAACTATGTCAGCAAGGAGCTCTGTTTCTTTCTTTTGGACAGAAAAAACAAGATCCGAGGGCCAAATATAGAAAAAATGCTTTGTAACTTGTTATAGAAAAATAGAGAGGAAAATAATCAGAGTAAGCTTAGCTCAGCTTACTCACTGGATGACAAATAAATGTTCGTTGCTAATGTGGCTGAATTCTAACGCCAAACACAATGGAGGGACAAGATGCTTAATTCATATAGGAGGAGTGAGAACCACTGTTTTGGTGTGTCAGGTACTGAGGAGTTTCCTGAGATATTGGATTCAGAGTACAGACAGCAGGAAAGTCTCAGGTAACCTGGGCTGAGTTGTCCACCCCAGTAGTGGCTGGGGTTGATTAGGGAGGGAGGAGACCTGTGTGGGATGAGCTCCGCAGAGGAACTTTTGGGGGTGGAGGGGAGACAGGAACATGGCTGGGGTCAGTTTTGGAGTCCTCAGGAGGTGCTACTGAAGCCCTCTTCTTAGCCATCTGACATCTGGTCATTCTCTGTGAGTGGCTTTTGTAGCGAGGGCCTTGTCCCCGGCTCCTGATTCTCTGCTGTCTCCTCACTGAGCTGTAGATAATCGCTTTGGGCTTCAAACTCTGTGCAGATAAACTGTGACTGATAATTCAGTCCACGCCAGTGGAGTGTGCGGCTCTGCCAGCGACAGCCTGTTGGAGCAGGAGGTGTGAGGCCCCGATGCACAGTGACTCCTGGGCTTCCAGCAGCACAGTGAAATCAACAAAGGTTTTGTGCAAGCATCCCTGGCCACAGCTGCTGTAATGTCTCAGCTGTTCCTATCAAGTAGGTCCCATAAGGGGTGGATGGGAGGTCCAAGGGTCAGCACAAGAAAGGTTTGTGGAGGAATAAGTCTTAGGCATAAGCAGAAACTTAGTCAAACATCTTGTTAAGTTCCTGCCCTTAATGCACAAAGTTGTTTTGTTGTTCCCATTCTGCAGATACAGAAACTGAGGCCTCAGACTGAATAATGTTCCATGCTAAGGGAGAGATGGAGGAACTCTTGCTCTCTATAAGGCTGCTCAGTTTGCTACAGTAAAACTTCTTCAATTACATCCTGAAAATCCATAATGCAGCATCATCAGAAATCATTCCCCAGCAAAAGGTTGGCCTAATCTGTATTTTCCATTTTATTTCAGCATGGGGCACCTTTTTCACCAAATGCCTATAAGACCACAGAGAGTTGAGTTCAAGGAAGTTGTCATGGATGGGGAATTTGTGGTCAAAAAGAATGACCCACGTCGCAGGAGTATGCAAACGTTATAACCACACGTGTGGGGATATTTAAGTTGATGCTTCTATGTGACTGATATAATGAGAGTATGTTTTTGGTGGGATGAGCTGGGGTTCACTTTAGACCAAAAATATCTCCTCGATGTATCCAGCGCTGCCACTTCCAGTGTTTCAATCCTGCTTCTCAGCAAGAGAGTGAAAGAAAGCAGCTGTATGAGGTGTTTCACTGTGGGACCTTAGAGACTGTCAGCCCAAGCACTGACTTTGGGGTCCAAGTGACAGAGGGACACAGTGTGGGTAAAGGGTCCTCTCCCCACCTCAGGGAAGAATTCAATATAGAGGTGGTATTTTGAAGATTAGAAGCATAGGAGGTGCTACCTGTGACAAATCCACGGACAAATGCACTGACATTCTCAGGTAGGGAGCACCTGCATGTCAGTGGTTTTATACAAAGGCCAATCCCAACAAAGTGGAGAGACTGTGGAAAGGACATCTGTACTTTCCAGCATGAGAAGCGGCTCACAGTTACTGGTTATTGGTCATCAGAAGTCAGACAGATGCTGAGTCCAGTAGAGAGCTACCCTCTCGCTGATGCTGGGTCAGGTGACTATGAGGCAAGTGACAGCAATGCAAGGCCGTGGGAGCTGAGACTCTGCTTGCTGGTTGGAGGGCGGCCTAGCACTGCCATTATGGGAAGCCAAGTGACATTATTTGTAGGAAGACCATACGTGCCTGTGTGGGACCCAGCAATTCTTGACCTGGCATCTGTCCCAGGGTCTGCAATGGGACACCGACAAGAAAGTTTCCTGCATGATAGTTTATGGGAAGAAACTGGGAGGCAACCAGAGAACCCATCCCTAGGAAAGGGGGTAGTTAGGGGTGATATTCAGCTGGAAGGCACTGTATGGTCATGCTGCTTGGTGAAATAGTGAGAAAATGTCCTTGTGTTGATTGATAACTAGTTGCTCCCCTAGCCTGTGAATGTGCGCTGTTTCTTGCCCAAACCTACCCAACCCTTGCATTCTGTACCTACTAAAGAATAAAGCCTGGCATTTTAGGGACCTCTGTGACCTAACTCCAGCACTCAGTCAGTTTTCTGCTTGGGTCACGCCTATATGGCTCAAAGGTTAAATATTTTGGCCTTCACTCTGTGGAGAGGTCAGCGGAGGTAGATTTAGACCCTGGAATGCGAGGCAGTAGTTAGAAGCAGTGGCTGCAGCTGCAAGTTTGTACCTTAAAACAATGAGTTCTTGTGAGAATTGAATTAGCTTTGTCATATATGTAAATGAAAAATTGTAGCACACAAAGCTAAGATGCACATCTTATGAGAACACACCTGAAAGATGAGATGCACCAGAGGTGTGGTGCACACCTGTAATCCTAGCATTCTTGAAGGCAGAGGCAGGGGGATCGCAAGTTTGCGGACAGCCTGAGCAACTTAGAGACTTAGAGAGACTTTGTCTCAACAACAACAATAACAACAACAACAACAGCAACAAAAGACAAAAAGCTGAGGTGATATCTCAGTGAAGGTCCTGGGTTCAATCCCTAGTATCACTTATATACACGCACACACACACACACACACACACACACACACACACACACACACACGATGTGCACACAACACATTAAAACAAATATTTAAGGAAGAAAAGAGAATGGGAGTGGATTACGATGATTGAAGAAAGGAAATGAATGAATGAAAATAAAATGGGCTGTGCACAGATCAGTAGTGAGAAATCATGAAGGGGCTAGATGACTAATCAGATCATTTTCTGCTAGAATACAAAATAAAAGATTAGCTAAAACACAGTGCTATGTGCCAAGTGCCACTGAGAGCACTTTGTCTACATTAACTCATCTGAGCCTGACAACCCCATGCCTGCCCATGCCCTATTTGCCTTTGGACCCAGGCCTACCCATTTGCTTCCCTCTGCTGTATCCTAGCAATGCTGAAGCTGTTCCAGGGCTTCCAGAGGGAGCCAGAGGAGCAGAGGACTGAGGTAGGAGGACTGTTTGGGGGCTGGTTTTTAAGTTATGCAAAGACATCGCCCTTAGCATTCAGCAGTAAATACCACAAATATAGGGAATTAAACCAACACAAATCTGTTATTTTATAGTTCTGCTAGTCAGAAGGTTGATACCAGATGCACTGGGCTAAAGTGCAGGTGGTCAAGAGGTCTGTATTCCTTCTGGAAAAGCTGATGGGAGAATCTGCTGTCCTTTCCCAGAATTTGAGGATGTTCCCCATGCTGACCTCCCTCATAGTGAAAGCCAGCAATATCCTATCTCTCTTCTTCTGTAATCACATTTGTCTCCTTCCCTCCCTCTCTTCTTCCCTCCCCCACCCTCTTTCTCTGTCTCTCTGTTTATCTCTCCTGAGCTGGCAAAGTTTCTTTGAAGAACTCATAGGATTAGATGAGGCCACTAAGATGATCCAGGACCATTTCCCTATCTCAAATCCCTACCCTTAATTACACCTGCAAAGTCCCTTTGGCAGAGAGATAGTCTCAGGCTCCAGGGTTTAGGACTTAGACATTTTTATGGGGACATTATTTTGCCTTCCAAAAAGATCACACAGAAATTCTTTGGGGTTGAATGACAGGCAAAGAGAGAAATGATTTTCCTTGCAGGCAGAATAGGGAAAGAAAGAGAATTGTGGATGATATTGGTGTTCATGTGACCTCTTTTATTGTTCAAATGTTGATGAAATTTGCCAATGTGTGTTTGCATTTCGAATACAGTCATTAGCAAAAGATTCAAAAGGATTTGGGAAAAAAGAATGAAATAATCAGAGGGTCTGAAGAGAAGCCCTTTGCAGATTAATTGTAGGGTGGGGTGTTTGTAGAGGAAGGTAGGCAGCAGGAGGGTGAGGATATGGGGCCAGTTGCAGGTCCTTGGATGTATTGTGTTGGCAGAAACAGAAGAAGAAAATAATGGAAAGCACAGATTTCCTTGTCTTCCAAAAAAAGAACACTAAGATAACTGAGCTACCTAACATGAATGGCAAAAGCTAATCAGTTAACTAAGTTACTTTAAATATTAATTAGCTAAGTTACAGAGCAATAACTTTAGTATTAACAATGTGTTCTGTCTTTAAGATAATTCTTTGTAGAACTAAAAATTGCCTGTTTTTCCACAAAATTTGTGACAAAAATGTAAACAAGTTGAGCATTGCCCCACACTAGCAGAAAAAGTAGCCAAAGATTCAATAAAAAAACACATGAAGTAGAGGGATATCAGCTGGATCAAGCAAGCTGAAGCTGTCAATCACTGTATCTTAGTCTGTTCTGCTGCTGAAAAGGAAAGACCCTCCAACTACAGGGGCTGTATTTGTTTGAAGAAGTGCTGCTTATAAGATATATAACTGAAGCAAAAGGACTCTAAAAAATAAAATTGAGAAAAGTAAAACAGAAAAGATGACTGTATTGGCTTTTCGTCACTGTGACAAAAAGACCTGACATAAAAAATGAAAGGAAGAAGGTTTTCTTTAGGTTCACAGTTTCAGAGGTTCTAGTCCATGGTCAGCTGGTTCTACTGTTGTAGGCCAGTGGCAAGGCAGGAAATCACAGCAGAAGAGCACGATAGAGGAAAGCTGCTTGCCTCATCACAGACAAGAATCAGGGAAACAAGGAAAGAATTAGGAAGAGCCAAGGGTAAGATAGATCCTTCTAACCCATGCCCCCAGTGAGCTGCTTTGTCATACTGGATCCCACCACCTAACAGCCCATTGAACTGTGAACTTATCAGTGGATGAATCCACTGAGGAGATCAGCACCTTCATGATTCAGTCTCCTCACTAGGTGCTACCTCTGGACGATGGTGCATTGGAGATCAAGTCTTCAATACCAGTTTTGGGAGACACTTCATATTTAAACCATAACTGATTACTACTGCAGGAGGAGCAAGCTGACATCGAAAGCAAAACATGTTGATCATGTGAGGTAGCTAATTAATTAATGGTCAATTTGAGTGGGAATCCGTAGCTGACTTGAGTCAGTGTGGTTGCCAAGAATGGTACAAAAGAACAGGAGGGAAGGATTTTATTGCTGATTTTCCTGGTAAGAGCTTCAGTGTTACTGATTTCCACTGGAGCAGGTTGGCCTATTCTCCACAGCTGAGCTCTGGTGTTTGCCTTTGCCTTAGGCATAGTCTCCTGGTTCTGAGGCGAGGATTGTTCAGCTTCCACCATCAGCCTTTCAGCCTGTGGGTGAGGACTTTCTAGCTTCCAGCACCAGCCCTTGGACTTCCGGCCCTTGGACTTCCGGCCCTTGGACTTCCGGCCCTTGGACTTCCGGCCCCTGGACTTCCGGCCCTTGGACTTCCAACAGGATCCTTCGTCCTTCCTCCACCTCCCGGTGCACACTTGCATAGGACATTGCTGTGAGCTCCAGGCCCTCCTTGGAGCTCTGTCGCTCAGACAGATCACTTACACTTTTCTACATTTAACTCTGTGGGCAAATATTGTAGGCCACTCTTGTAGATTTCTGTGTTCTGTATTAACTCTGTTCTCTTGCAAAACATTGACTAATACACCATGGTAAGCAGGAAAATTACTTATGATTGCAATATATAATCAATGATTAAGTTGAAATTGTCAAACTTATTCTTTGAATCCTTATAATAAATAAAATATAACCCTTTATAGATCTATAATAATTGTTACTGTAGTAAGATTATAATTATTATGTGTTGATGACAAGAATACAGATATTAAATATAGACATAAATAATGAAAATAAATTAGGTGGAATAAGCAGAATCATTTGTTTTCACTCCACTGAAAATGTACCTTCTTTTCATTTGCTTAGGAATGCTATACAAATAAATTATGTGATACACTCTAAAGATTATAAAAACTCAAAAAATGATTCAATAAACTAGAAATTAGAGTTTTAACAAATATTTCATCAAATAACAATTCTTTCAAGACATGTCACTGACAATAACAGACTATTTGAAAATAATTAAATTTTCTAAAATGTAAAACATTATATAAAAATATACAACAGGTCAAGTTAGGACCCTAGAATAAACCCTTAGCTTTAACAGCTTTATAATAAAATAAAACTGTGAGAATAAATAAAATTAAGCATTCTAACTAATTTTAAAAAAGAATAATTATACTGTGTTACAAGGAACAATAAATTTGAAAACCATGAAATTAAGCAAGAAATCTAAAACTGATTTTTAAAAGTTTCACAGAATAAATCACTGAAATTTTGAATAAAATTTCAAAATGAGAAAAAGCGCAAGTAATTAAAATTTTTAAAAAAGTGAATTTAATGCTAGAAAATAAAAGAGTTCAGTCATGGATCAGTATTTGTGGGGTATCCCAAGATCCTCAGACATACCAAGAGCTCAAGTCCTTTGCAAAAAATTGCCTGGGCCTGGTATTCTCTAGTATTCTAACAAAACCTGAGCGTATCATACTATATAATTTAAATCCACTGTGATGACTTGTAATATTCAATGCAGTGTCAGTTGTATGTAAACAATTGTTAAACTGTATTTTTTAGAAATAATGATAAGAAGTCCTTACATGTTCAGTGTAGACATAATTGTTTTTAAATATTTTCAATACGAGGTTGGTTAAATCCATAGATGTGGAAGCCACAGACAGAGGCCGACTGTATGTGCTTGTAAATGATTATAAATATTAATTATGAGCTGTGCATAATCAGATTCTATTAATAATGGAAATTCTTAATGAAATAGTCTTTACATGAATATACAATAGGAGAGTGAAATACGATCAAATGAGGATTTGAAATTATACTAATTGATGAAGTAATTAAGAACACTCTGGCGTGGGTGTTTTTGCGGGCCTTCCCAGGCCTCCTTCCCAGCCCTCTCCACACTTCCCCGGGGCCTCAGGAGACTGACTTTCTCCATCTGGGTTGGGCCAGTCAAGAGTCCAAAGGTAGCTGTCACTGAGTATTTGTGCATTGTGCATCTCTCTCCTGCAGGGCCTCTTGGACTTATTGGTGTCCCACTGCTCCTGTCACATAGCCCTCCCCACATGGACACTGGTGTTTCAGGGTTCCATCAATCACTTTGTCCTCTTCATGCCTAACTGTAGTAAACGCCCCCACAGCACTCTGCCTGCACTTTGGGAAATAAACCCTGTTAAATTTATATCTAGAAGCCGAGTGTGGTGGCACACACCTGTAATCCCAGCATTCATGAGGCTGGGGCAGGAAGATTGCTGCAAATTCGAGCTCTGGGCTACCAAGTGAGTTTAACGCCAGGCTGAACTGCATAGTGGGACTTGGTCTCAAAAAGACAACAAAAGTTTTTAAAATTTTTTATATCTAGATGTCTGCCAACAGCCTCATATGCTCACAGTGGGGCTTTTGGAAGGTAATGAAATCATGGGCGCAATAAAGCTGCGTTGTTGTGAGGAGGTGGGACTGGTTGGAGTGGGCGGGGTCTCTGGGGTGTGGCCTGGAAGGTTGTACAGTATCTCCCTCCCTGGCTCCTCCCTTCTCTCTCTGCTTCTGGCTGCCGTGACCTTTCCATCATGACTTCCGGCTTTGGAGTCAGCCAACTATGGGCTAAAAACCTGATCAAAAATAAATTTTTCACTGGTATTATGTCCCAGCAAAGAGAAAGTGACTAAGTCAAACACTTTATTCAACACTTTTTACAAATCCAGTTTACCTCCTACCCTTTCTAATTTGGATGGTGACTAATACCCAGTTACAGAGGAAAACGGCAACTTTCCAGGCTCACTAGTAAAAAAACTCAAGTGAAATTGTTGGCTGTTTTCACATAAATTTGAAGAACAGATCACTAGCTTTTAAGTTTTATAAAATGCACAAAAGTTCACACAAAGATATAAAGCCGTAAAATTTCTCATGCAGTGGAATGTTACTGATCCCAAACTCTGACAAAGATAACCAAAAGGATTACAGAATAATCTCACATATGAATATAGAACTACACGATTGAGAACAATCTTAAGTAGAAGCTAATGATAAATTAAAATAATAATCAACTGCAAAGGGTTTGTTCCAAGTATAGAAATGATCAAAATTAGGAAAAATATTCATATATTACTATCTCAAGATAATGAGAGTCTATAAACCAATCGAATGAATATAAAGGAGAATTTTATAACTAAACCAGTTGGCACATACCGGTATCCCCAGCACTCTGGGAGACTCAGGCAAGAGGATTGTGAGTGGGAGTCCAGCCCTACAAATTTAGTGACTTAGTAAGGACTTGACTCAAATTTTTAAAAACAGGGCTGGGGAAGTTGCTCACTGTGAAGGCACTGGATTCAATCCTCAATTTAAAAGAAAAAGAAGAACAAGTGCCTAATTTCAAAACAAGAGCAAATAACCACAATTTCCTCTCGCCTGCCCCTCACTTCTCAAGCAGCCTAATGGAGAGACTTCTCCTATTGCTACATTTTTTCAAGAGAGTGAGATGTTGAGACATTAAACAACTGAGGTCACATAATAAAGGGAGGAGGAGACAGAGAGAGCACCCAAAACAGCTTATTATTTTCATTTTTTATTTTTTGGCACCAAGACTCAAACTCATGACCTTGAGCTTGCCAGGCAGGTATTTTGCCGCTAAGCTATATCCCTACCCCTATTATGTTTATAACATGTTATAAAATAATCACAAAATGTTTACAACTTTTCAAAATATTTGCTCACTATTCATTTGATAAGAGTGGGATCAGCGTACCATCTACCACAGCATAAGCAACCCCCCAAATCAGGTGTCCTGATTCCATCTGAGAGGTAGCAGGCCCTTGGACTCTGTCTCTCAGTCTGGTGCTGAGACAGGGTTTTGGCTCAGAATCCAAATTTGCTGCTCGCATAGCCAGCTTTCTTGACCTGTGCGAGGAGACTTCCTGATTCTCAGGAATGAGTACTTGGGAACCACCCTTTGTGAGCTGGTACTGAACACGGCTTTCTCCTTCCTCTCCCAAGTCACCCTGAGGGTATTTTGTGTCTACCTATTGTGTGCATTACAATGTGAAGGACATCAGGCAGGAAGGATCTTATCTGATCTGGGCAATGAGTTCAGGAGATGCATGCAGCCGTGCTTGCTGGCTTTGTTTATATCACTGGTCTCTGGACTTTCTAGCCAGTATGGTTTAGGCCTGGACTAGTCACAAGACCTGTTCTTTCTGCCACAAATACTTTTCTGCTTTTATCTTCAGTACTGGGATGGAAACCAGAGCCTCATCCATGCTAGACAAGTGCTCTACCAGGAAGCTACATCTCCAGATCTTTTTATTCTTTTAAATTTTGAAATAGGGTCTCCCTAAGGTATCCAAGTTCACCTGCAACTTGAACTTGAGATCCTCCTGCCTCAGTCTCTGGAGTACCTGTGGGTACAGGTGTGCAGCACCATGCCAGGCATTCTTCCTGTTTTGCATGATGGCGTTTAAAATCCTCTTAAAAGGTGACTGCAAATTTCCTCTGTATGGACTCTCATGTTGCTGCTTGCAGTCCTGGCTCTGCTTTGGCTCCATTCCTTCAGGGGAGACTCTGCTTTAGGGGTGCTGCTTTCTACCATGCATCCCTCTGCTGGAATGTGTCCATCATTGCCACTAGAGGGACTTCCTGCAAGACTACAGAAGGGTAGAGGGCATGATTAAAAAAACTGGGACAGTTTCACTTTTAAAAATTGATTGCAATAAACAACACATTGCTATGAACCCCTCTCACAGTACTCTCCCCTTGCCTTGACCACACTTATCCCATTATTCTTGCCACTTTCTGAAGCATTTCTGGAAGTGTTCTTTCCTGAGTATCTTTGTGCTCAGGTCTTTGGTGTGATCAAAATATGGTGATCTTTGGTGTGATCAAAATACAGTGAATGCTGCTGCTGAGGGCCATCCAACAGAGAGAGAGGCCATGTCCTCATCCACCCTATTGACCAGATCAGGCACCATACAAATTCTGGCTCTTCCCCAAAGATAAAATGACTACAAAAGGGAAACATTTTAATCAATTCAAGACATTGAGGCAGCCACAACCACACAACCAAAGACCTTCAAGAAAAAGCACTTCCAGAGCTACTTGGGAAAGTGCCAAGAATGATAAATGTGTTCAAAGATAGGAGGAGTATTCTGAGGGAGATTCACAGTAGTGTGTCTTTTACTGAAACACACTTTGTTAAAAATTAAGCACACATCTTGTTTTCCGATCACACCACATAACTTTTTTCATGGGTTCACCTTACAGGCCATGTGAATGCCTTTGTTTAGTCTGCCTTCTGGTTTGAGAAATCATCTCTTAGCAGCACCCATGCAACTCTCAGACGAGGAGCTCATGAAACTTGGCCATGAAGAGACCCAGGCATTTCTGCTGTTATCACCCCCCAGTTCTTAGCTAATGGAAATCAGCCCACGGATCTACTTCTAAATATTTGCTCAGTGACCTCCCCAGAAGCCCATGGCATGGACCAGAACACTCCGGCTCCTTGCTTCTGCTTGCCAGCTGCCCTCTGTGGCTCATCTTTCTTCACTTCCCACAAGACTTCCCACATTTCTACCCGACACCATGCTGGCTCACCGCTAGGAATTTGCAGATCTTTGCAAAACACACCCTAGATGAGTCCAGTTCTCCTCCCACACAGGTTCTTGCTGCTCTTTATTCTCCCCTACAGTGTGCATATCTTTGTTT